AGGGAAATACCAGTTCATGGATTCCCGCTGCTAATGGTCCTAAGCAGCAGCTCTGTGTGGGACAGGAATGTGATGCATGTGATTCTGCATTAAGTTTTACTACTGCTGTTAACTTAAGGAGGAAGAATATCGATCAAACTCTCATTTTTTTGTGTGTATAAGGGACAAGAAATTTTACTGTTATCTGATTGACAGCATTAACTCTGTCTCATCATCTTCCTTGTCTGTTCAAGTGTTAAAGGAAACCAGCAGGTGGAGGAATCTATCTGGAAATTGCATTGCTTCCTAGGCTTAAGAAAACAGTTCAGAGCTGGGCACTGGCAGACAATTAGCCTAAATCAACTTTTTTTCTTTTTATTTTCCCTTTTAAATTTTTTTTTTCCTTTATTTAATCTCTGTAATTCTCTTTCTTCTGAAATGAATGCAGATATCTGAGATCTGGGTATCTGAGTGCGCATCTGGATGATTGTTCTCTGATTGTCCTTCACTTCAGTTGAAGACCTATGACAGATCTGTGTCAAGGGAATTTGCAAAGGAGCCCTCTGAGGTGGTCTGTAAATTGGACCTTAAGGAGGATTCAGATTTCACTTGCGTTCTAGGTGTACACTCACATTTTTTCTTGCCTCACTCAAGCTCCATTAGTTGGTGATATCTGTACGTGTGTAGCTGCACAGTCTCTTGGGTTTTCTAATACAGTTCCAAAGGGAAGTACTCATCGGTTTGACATTGACATATTAGGGTTGCTCCAGTGTCTATGTGAAAATAGTCTCTAATTACCTACTCACATGGTAATTTTCAGTTGGACTCTTGTCTCAACCCCTTGCTAGGTTCCTCATATCCTGATCAAGTGCATTTTCTATTCTCACCATGCTTTGCCTCAACATAAGGCCAGTGTCCTGTCTCTCTACCTCTTCTAGTCCGTAACAGAGCTCCCACTCTTATCACTCAGGCTCCCTTCCTAGCCCCGATGCATTCCACGGCATTACCTTGAGCTGGTTTTACAGCCTTCACAAATCTTGCTGGGGACTCTGTCCAGCCAAGGGCATCACTTCTTAATACTGCCTGGGATTGGTCGAGTAGATATGGGGATAGGGAAATGTGCCCAGTCCCAAACTGTGCACAGTCTGTAGCTCTGTGTCCTGCACTGTCATGATAGACAGTGCGAGATGTCATCTGAAGAATCTGAAGTGAAAAAAAGTCTGGAAAATTAGGGCCTAAAATTCAGATTTTCCCAAAAAATATGTCTTGCAGTCTCCTTGGATTGTGACAGCAACCTTAAATCTCTTTGTTAAACACTAAGGATTCAGCCAAATCCTCACAGATTTTCACAGGGAAGATGTATCATTTGAATAAAACACCTACATGGTACTTACCAATTAACAGATTTGAAATCAGAATTTGAGTGCTTTAGGCCTTTCGCAAAATAATAATGTTTGAGCTATGAGAAGAATGGTATCTTGTTTAGCTTTGTTTCCTCAAAGTGGTGAAATTTGTTCTTTCATTAAAAAAAAAGAGAAAAACCCACTCTAAACATGAAGAGGACATCTGACAGTTCCTTCTTTTAAAACTTGCCAATGCTATAAAGTAAACATAGAAAAAATTCAAAGTGTCGTATCACCTTTGCAATAGGTGGTACTGCCAGTGCCCCCTCTAGTATAAAATTGGCTTTTGGGGTGTAATTTGACTGTAAGTATTCCTTCTAGGCTGAATTTTAATGTATGATGTGTCAGCCCGGGATTTAATACATTTTAATGCAAACCAAAATTGAAATCTTGATAGAGAAATTTAAAGGTCACAGTTCCATAATGCAAAGTTATGGCACATTTTATTAAATTAGAAATTAAATTGCTGAGATTACTTTGCTGGTTTATAAAAGGCTGACTTGTCTGTGTATGTTTTTTTTAAAGAAATCAACTTCAGTAATTAGCTGTAAAATCCCATAAACATAATGCTATTTCCATAACCTAAATTTGAATCCATCTTTATGTTTAATGCTTTTTACAGTAGAATCAAAAGGTTGATGTACGTTGTTGTAGGCAGATTTGACCCAGTCCAGAGTAATTTACTGGATTGTCCAGTGGGTTTTGCAGAACACCCTGACCACCGTTCCTTTCACTTCATTCTGACAGTATAACCTCCCCTGAGCTTGTGGGTCTGAAGAGATTGCTTGTCTCTGGAAGCTGAAGTCACATTGCAGTGACTTCCAGGCTCCAAGAACTGTTGCCAGTGTTTTGCAAGGCTGTTAGAAAAGAGCAATTTGGATCTGCCTGAAGCACATTTCTGAGCTCCATAAGAGTGGGAGCGCCTCCATGACTGGAGAGATAGAAATCTCTATGAGATAGAAAGACTGCAGGACCTGCTCCCATCTAGCCCTGGCAACTGGAAGCTTCTGCCTTTCACAGAGAAGTATGTTGCCCATGGGAGATCTTCTCACTCAACACAGCAAGATCTCACAACAGGTAGGGCTGAGGGGCAACACCGCCATTCACAGAGGTAAGGTTTTATGGAAGGGAGCAGTTCTTTGCTTGCAACACCTACCAAATTTAGTGTGAAGCAAACACTGGGGAACTCATGACTCTCTGGGACTACCTCAACTTGTTAATCAGTGAAAAATCCCTCCAGTGCTTGGAGATTCCCATGGCAGTGGGAGCCTGGAGGAGTCTTCTGGCCATGGCAGGCAGGTTCAAGCTCCGAAACACCTTGCGTAACTAACTCGGTGGGAGCAAGGAGATACACTTGGTTGCTGAAATGGGATGCTGACCCACAGGGAGAGGCTGCAACTCCTAGATATCAGCTCCAGAGCCTGCCCCCTCCCCAGTGCCTATGGGAAATCAATAGGACTGGCCATTTCCACTGAAGTCCCAGTAGCTGTTACTACAGAGAAAAAAATGGCAATGAGCTCATATTCAAAATAAAAAGGTGAACTGCCATACTTCATGTGCTGCTGAAGAGAAAGGGGACTGACCTCTCTTCTTGGCAAACAAGAACAATAAAAAATATTTAGCTCAAAACCTGAAAGGGACATCTAACAGTTCATTTGGTAAATCTTGCTGAGGTTCTGAAGTGAATATAAAGTATGGTCTTATAATAGGAAGTGTCAGGCTGTCTTGGCAATAGCTGGTACTGCCAACCCCACCTCTAGTATATAATTGCCTTTGGAGGCTTAATTGGTCTGTTAATTGAATTGTGTGGAGAGTCAGCCCAGCATTTAACGCATTTCACATGCAAACCAAAATAGAATCATGATAAAGTTTGCAGATTGGAAGTTAGTTTAAAAAACAGAATCTGAAGTTTCTTGGGGAGGTAAAAGTAGTTTGTGTTCGTGGAAACAGCTGTTACCTGCTGTTCTTTCCCCTAAGTATAAATTTGGCCATGGCAATTGAGGTTGCAGTCATCTGTCGCTTGTTATACAGAAAGAGAGATTATTTTCTGTAAGCAGTGTTGTGTTACATGGCATTTGGGCTCATCATATGCATCCCTTTCTTCAGTGAGGCCATCAGTCTGCTCTGCTGAAGTAGGAATGCCACTGGGTGTACTTCACTGTCTGTCTGTAGTCTGTCTGTCTTTATTAAATTAAGACTTTATTATTTAAGACTTAATTAAATATTATACTTTATTAAAGTATTTAATACTTGAAGTATTTAAGACTGCCATCCTGCTTCTGAGAACAACTCATTCTATAGAAGCCAGCCAGACTGTTGGTAAAAGCTGTGAAACTTCAGCAAACATCTTTCCTTCCGAAGTATGCAACAGCATTGGGGTTTTCCTCCTAACATATACTTAAAATTTCCTAACACATCACAAACAGGCAGATATATTTCAGGGAAACGCTCACTCAGAACAGGCTGTTTGTATGATAAAGCTACGAGGTTCAAGGTGAGACCAAGCAGAGCCTTTGCAGTTTGACTGCGCTCTGGTGGTTGTTCCTGTAGGAATGTGTGTTGACAACACAGCGATGAAGAGCATGCTGGAATGTTAAAATGAACCCAACAGGTACAGCAGGATGAATGGTTCTGTTAAGTCTTATTCTCTGTTCAAGTTATAAGATCAACGGAATAGTATTATTATAAGCTTTAGCCATAAAGTAAAATCTGACTGAAAAGTGAGCTGTGTGAACAATGTCACCTTGATGGCTTCTTAGATCCGTTCATTTCCTATTCACAGACTCACATAAAGTAAACCCAGGCTTTCTCAAAAATTCTTTTGACCTGTTGCCGAAAATAAAAGTCTGGAAATAGGATTAAACATTATAGCCAGGATAAACCAAGGAGTCCTTACAGAAACAATAACCTTTCTTGAGTGACCAGGTTATCTGTAGGTCCTCATTCAGGTCCTGCAAGAGGGCATAGCTATCTTGACAAACACTCAAAGTACTCTTTTACACTGTCTTCCAGTATTTCAAGAAGAATTCCTTATAGAAGCTTGGCGTTGCAAGAAGATGGGGCTTTTCTATAATGGGAGTTTGCTGTACTGACTTCTGTACTGACTTTTCTGATAAACAAAAATTCCTTGTCAAGTGCTATGATCATATATGAAAGATTCTTTTAGTGCTGGGAAGGACGAAGTAGAGCTATTTGCAGAACAGGCAAAAGTTTCACTGCTTTCATTTTTCAAGGTTTCTATCAGCTGATTGTTTTTGCTGGTAATTCTGGACTGAAAAGTATGTAATTTCTCAAGTTTGTTATTCTAGTAGGTCAGGCTTGAAGGAGGTTACTTTTTTTTTAGTGAATGAGTGCTGTCAGCTGCCATTTTTTTGTTCCATTCTGGTATGGGAAGCTTTAATTCAGGAAGACAAATAAAGAAATCAGGTGGGCAGAACATCTGCTTTGAGAACACTCCAAGCGGGATTGCAGGACAGTTTCGTCTTTACCTGTTCATGATTGTAAAGCTTGTATTTTGTCTACCTTGCAACTTTGATTTCATCATAGCATTTAATCTTGGATTTTCAGACTCTTTGCTTGGGAAAGTTGTATATGCATATATAATTGCCACCATCTGAAATTGCTAGTATATTTTTGGATAATGTGTTGTTGAGATATCAGGCATTATTAACTCAAATGAGTGAAGTTCCCTATCTACAGTTCTTCTTTGGCAGCAATTATAATTCAGATGGTTTGGGCTGTATAAAGGTGTCAGTTCCTTTGCAAATTGTGGCCAGCCTTATTCTCCAGTATTTGGTGGTTTGTTTTTTTTTCTCCTGAGTATCTAATCATTCATTAAAATTGCACCTATTTTTAATATACATGGCTAAATACCTTTTGGATGTCAAAAACTAACTAATAAAAATATGTAACTACAAATATAGGTTGGTTTGCAGTCTGTTAATTGAAAGTCAAAATCTTTGTGTATTATTGTAACTTACCCTCCCTTCCCATTACATATATTTAATTACTTATTCTCTTATTTTGTACAAGTATGCATTATGGCATGATCTTTACCAGGAAAGGGATCACTGGCAGTAATTATTTATGCCAGCATTCAAAATTGATGCTGAACTATAAACATTTCCACTAGAGAAATAGCTGAGCCCCAAAATTAGATGTGTATGTCAGAATATCCTTCCTTGACTTGCTTTGACACTGAACGTAAGTTCTTCCTATAAGTGTTAGCACAAAATAGTAAACTTCAGGAAAGCAAAATCTGCATGTAAGTATTTTTGTTTTATGTTATTTTTTGCTGACATTGCTGACATACTCCTGTTCTTACTGATCACAGACTGCACCAGAAGTGATGAGCCACATGCTGTAGGGCCCACTCTCTGACAGTTGTTCTGCAGACATAAACCAGTGTCCTCAAGTTTCCCACATGAACACCAACACTCGACTTGTTTATTAAGTGATGACTTCTGCAAGAGCAAGACCCACATTATTTCTGTCTGAGGCCAAGCTGTCCTGTTGACATGTCTTCTGTCAGCTTGTATCCCAAGAAGTTTGCCTGTCCTTCTGAGCAGCATAGCCTACGTGTTAATCTGATAGCTTGTCATTTGGAATTGGATTTTGAAACTATTACTCATGCTGTGTGTGTACTGGGATCATTTCTGGAACAGTGTGCTATTCGGTATGAGTAATAGTGCAGGAATTTGGCATCTTCTTGGGAGCAAGAGCTTGTCTTTTACTTTCTCTCTTTTGATGTAGGCAGTAAAACAAAGAATAGTGTCTCCTGTCATAAACCTAAACAAACAGGATTATTTGTCACAATCTGTGCAGGGCATCATAGGATATGCTTGAAGGACTGAGGTCCAAGGTTTTAATGTGCTTAAGGCCTTTTGTAGAAATGTTTTAAATAATAGAATGACATTTATTTTTATCCATCTCTAATGGCATTTTATCATTCAGAAGTTTTCTCTTCCCTGGGTTTTTCACAAATATGAAATATTGAAAAGTTTAATTTTGCATTTCAGTAGAATTTCATCTGACTTTGTAGATTGAAGTTTTCCAGTTTTAATCTATAAGCAAACACCTTGAGACTGTATAGACAGAGTAAATATTTATAAAATAATGCATATTGCAGGAGCTATGAATTGAGAATTAAGTTATGCTCATTTAATTTTGAGTGATGGTGTTAAATTTCAGTGCCTGGGAGTTCATGAGTGCATATGGTAAAATTTGTATCAGATACGTGCAGTCACACAGTTTTGTATGTTACTCCAGAGTTCAGTTTTAAAAGAGCAAAGGTCTTGGTACACTGAATAAAATCCATATTTCAATGTGCGGTACCTATTTCAATGGCAGTAACATTGACTGATTCTTGCCAGATGAGCACCCAGGCCTGAGCATAGTCCATGACTTCATGAACATAAATGAGATTGCATTGTATCTTACTGTATTCCTGAGACCCTTGTAAGCAAGAATGAGATGAGGTGTAAGAGTTGGTAATTCTATCAATTTAAATATTCTTGATATAGCTGATATAATTGTGGTTTTGATGAGTAAAGGGGAGCTATTTGTAAGTACAGTTGGTATACTTTTGATCTTCTGCATGCTCTTCTTGCTGAATAATTATCTGTGGATAACCACTAAAAAGCACAAATTCTTCCCATCTTCCTCCTTCCAGTGTGATGACGTATATTTGGAATAAAACACTAATAATTTTCTTATTGTGACTGGTTGTGTCTTTCCAGAAATCTAAGCAACAATAAGATCAAGGAGATACGAGAAGGCACATTTGATGGAGCTTCAGGAGTGCAGGAACTGATACTGACAGATAATCAACTGGAATCCGTGCATGGACGAATGTTTAGAGGCCTCACAGGGCTAAAGACATTGTAAGTGCAAAGACCTGTTTTTGTTCCTCTGAAAGTCGAGTGGCAGTGCTCAAGTTCAGCAATGCCTGCTAAAATATCTGTTACTAGACAGCAAGCTCTAAGGCAGGGTCTTGTATCACCGTCATGAAGTCTTCAAAACATTTCTAGTCCTGGGTAGATTTCATCTGCTATTGCTGTGAAAAAAAAAAAAAGACATTTTCAAGAATTTCCTATGGAAACAGGGCATGTAGGAGCGTGTTTGCTATCTATTAGTCCATCATCCCACTCTGCCTCCACCCAAATTGGAACTGTTGGTCTGCTTAAACCAAACCTTAGAATAGGCTGGGAGCCTGAAATATGTTTAATGTCCTGCAAACTGTATGAAACCAGTAGGTAGGGAGAGAAGAGAGATTCAAGTTATTGCTGCCACCAAAACAGGTATAGCTAAGCAACTTTAAGGCAGGCATAAGCCAACTGTTACAGATCTTGCTGACAGAAGGTAGCTGTGCGCTCTGCACCAGCTGCAGCAGCCCAGGAACATAGACATGGCTTTGGACTAGACCCAGCATCCTGTTTCCTGCCCACACCAAGTGCCATACAATTTTGTGCGGATTTACTATTAATGTGGTTGTGATTGGGGGGAGGATGAAGGAGACATAGAGCCCAAATGCATAAGAAACCAGTTTGGTATTACTTTTGTGTTTAGACAACCTTTCTAATTTCTTGCTGAGAACTAACACTTATGCATAAACTCATAATACTTAACACTCATTTATTTTCATGTTAAAAGTTATATTGGAAAAAGAATCACAGACAAGATTTCAAGATGGTGTCTAATCCATGCTATCCACCATCCTGAGGACTGGGCTTCTGGTGATGGCAAAGGCCTGTGCCAGACCATGTGTATGATCTGTGCATGAAAAATACCTCTTTTGCATAGTCTTTCCTGCTGTAGAAAGAAAACACTTGACTAGGTGGATGCTGTCAGTAAATAGACTCTAGGAATCAAAATGCAAATTAAAATATGCTATTTATTCATCAGCAGCAAATACTTCTTATATTGCAAAGTATCATGGCACAATTACTTCAGTCCTCACTTACGTGTAAAAAGAAGTCCAAGTTTCACTTCAAGGACTTAGGCCTGTAGTGACGAATAGGAAACTTTTCTTTTGCTGCTCCTTCAACATTTTCTTCTGTGGTTGCAGCCATCTGTTCTTTAATTTAATATATGCACTTCATTGAGGGATTTGAAAATACTGTCTATAGATAATTAATTTTTTTACTGTAAAGGCAGCCTGTGGCAGGGCTTCTAAACAAAATTCAGCATTTTTAATAAAAAGTTGCTTAACATTCAAGCTATCCTGCTGACCTGACCCACATTTCCCCCTAGCTGATACAGCAGTCTGATTATACAAAGCATGATATGATGATCTGTAAGTATGAATCTTCCTTCAGCAAGGGCACCACAGAGCATGGTGAACCATGATATGAAACCAAAGGTTTTGGCTTGAGGGACGTATATTTCTATCCATTGACATTCTTTGAGAATTAAAACTGTGATCTTTTACAAAGAGGCCACATTGGACAGGGTCATGGTCAAGTTTTTAAAAGACTGCACATTTCCTGCAATGTAATAAATCTCTGTGCAGGATATACTGGCATCCAAATTCAGTCATCCCATCTTGCTGTACTGCTGCCTGATACTTTACACACAGGTCTGAAAAAATGTTTCCTACTGCTAATAAGCCACTGAAGACCTTACTTCTCTTATTTACTCCCCTGTTCAATTTAGAGCTCATGGTTGTTGTGAAAAATGGAGAAATAAATCCGGTCTTGTGAGGTCGGCACCAAATATGCGACAGACGCAAGTTGGGGAACAAATAGTAACTGTTTATTTACAGCAACATTGACAGGTTCTTTTGGATTGCTGGTGATAAATTGAAAAGCTATAGGTACACTAAAGGTTGTACACACACTAACACCAGCCAGCTTGGCAAATAAACAAGCCCATCAAACAGAAATACAGTGGAGCAAAACCAAGAATACACTCAAGGAAGCCTAGAAATGCACCTGGGAAGAAATATAAAATACACTCTGGAAGTATGCACCTGAGGAGAAATGTATCACTCATTATGTACTAATGTGTAATTAGCTGAGGTAAATAATCTTACCCACAAGGTGACCCGAGTAGGGGGGATGGAGAGGGAGCAGTTCATCCTGTCCCCACTCTTAGGCCGAAATTGTAGTGATATTTATACTCAAACTTTCACACTACATCACCGGGGCATGTATGTGGGTGGGGATGACTATAGACAATCTTACCACTTATGTTAATGTCACAAAGTCACACCTACATGGGTAGAGGTAATGGCTCCTTTTGTTTGAGGGGGAAAGAAATGGAGGACTGGGACCACGAGGCCTCCGCCTCATCTCACACTCCTCCAGGCATCCAGATAACACCAGATATTGATCTAGTGGTGGTTGCCACCGCGCCCAGTGCTTGCCACATCCGGTGCTTGCCACCTCACCCAGTGCTGAGTTTCATGCTTCCAGGCATGCAGCTACATGGTGTACGTGACTTGGACTTTGTGACTAACTTTTGCGCTCTCTCTACAGTGGTCTCGACCTGGCTTTCAGTCAGCTTAGTACTCCACGTGTAAAGTGTGTGTTGCTGTGCTCTGTGACTCTGTTCTGATACAGTTTCACCCCAGTTGCAATACTAGAACCATTGAGACCCTTGTGCCTGTGGTGATCACTTTGTGTAGAGAACAGGAATGCACAAGCAATGTAACATTCAGGTCTTAAACACTCAGTGTTTGTGATTATACTGCAAATTTCTTCCCAGCCATATCTAATCTCTCTTTGGTGTTTTTATAGTATCTATTGATCTGAATGCCCAACTGATGGATACAAATCTGAGATTTAAATCCAGATCTAAGGGAGTCTTGATTCTCATTGTTCATTGCATTAATTTGATACCAAGGAGTTAATGCTTCTCAATTTGAGGGATCAATTCTCTGGAACAGCAGCATGAGCTGCATATATTTTGTGGCTTTTTTTATTTACTGAATAATTTTTCACCTAAGTAGGAATATCACAACTGTGTAGTGATGTTTACAGACCCAGATGTTGATTGGCATGCAGCGTAACAAATACACATGAGCCTTTTCTGCTATGAAGTGTAACAAGATACTACAGTCTTTCAGATTAATTGGGCTTTACCATTGAGTTCATTGTTACCATAACAACTTGGAGAGATGTATTTTCCAAAACACAGCACTGCTTTGTCTGGTACAAGCACCGCGCAAAGACTATTTTATAGGATGATTGCTGCTTTCTGTCTTGTCAGTTAGTGAGCATATTGACATTTCAAAGCTTGTGTTAGGTCTGGAAATCTTTCCTAAGCAATTCCTTGATTTCTACTGAGGATGCTGTTTCCTTCCATACTTTTGCAGTGTGGATTACAAAAAACATCCATGACAGCAGCAGAAGTAATGCAGCTAGGATTGTTATTCTCACACATTTCTGGCAGGCTTCTCAGTTGGTCTCTGAAATTTATCTTCACTTACTCTTGGATATTTACTAAATTAAGACCTCAATTTTTATTTCAAGTCTGCCACTAGTAATAATTTTAATCACATACTATTTTCAGATATAGAGCTCCTGTCAGCCTCTAATGTTGCGTGGAAGAAATGTGTTTTAAATTCATGAGGCCGTGTTTACAATAATCTAGCCCTCCTACAGCTGTGTTGTGCTTCAGCAATCAATAAAAATAGAGTACAGTGCTTGTCAAAGCATCTATTGATGCCCTTGATAAAGGACCTCCTATCTTGAAATTGTACCCTCTCCTAGTAGGTCCTAATTCTCTGTTCTAATCCTTGCAGAATGCTGAGGAGCAACTCTATCAGCTGTATAAACAATGACACATTTGCCGGACTGAGCTCAGTGAGGCTTCTTTCTCTGTACGACAATCGCATCAGTACTATCATCCCTGGAGCCTTCAGCACTTTAGTCTCATTATCAACAATGTAAGTTATCTTTTTATGGTATGAAGATATCATAATGCTGTTATTCCATGCTTTCCATTTAAGAAGACAGTTTCTGAGTTTCAAAATCAAACTTATTGTTAATACATGAAAAACCACA